AAATGATCCAGGGGAATACTATTTGGAGCAAATACATGAGACATAAATACCTCAGAGATGGTCTTTTCTCTCCAAAGCCTTATGACTCCTACACTTGGAAATCCATATGTAAAACCACTCCACTAATTCTTCCCCATTGTAGGCTTTCCACAGATGGTGCTGAATGGAACTTTGGGACTTACACTTTCAGGAAGGCATACTCACTTACCTATGATCATCAGCCAAAACAGGCCACTTGTGTCTATATCTGGGATAAGAGACAAATGGGTAAGATCAGCATTTTCCTTTGGCGTCTATTCAACAACTTACTTCCCTTCCCAAACAACCTACAACGAATGGGCATCATCACCAATACACCGTGCCCTTTCTGCATGGATATGAACATGAGTGAACAACATCTCTTCCTCAAATGCAAGGTGATCTCAACCATCTGGAATGTCTACTCAACGGATGTTAGTGCTCCAACTATGAAGGAAAACCCTATGCTACAACAAGTAATGCTCAGCTGGTGGTTATCCTCAAATAAAGGAAGCATAAAAGGGAACCTACGCTTCCTGCTACCAGGTTTTATTTGTTGGACAATCTGGAATGTCTACAACAAGTGCCTCTATGACAATGGCAGACCATCATTGAAATCACTAGTCCTCTCCACAAACAAGCTGGCTCAAGGATGGTTTTGGGCAAACAACATCAATACAACTTTCCTTTTTAAATCTAATGTCCTTAGCTTGGGTTTACTCCCCTTTCAAGGATCTAGGTAACATGTGGTCCTAGATTCCTTTCTCGTTGTAATCCTTGGTTTTTTCTTTCTATTATTATTAATAAAAGTCCCCTTTTATATATATAACCAGAAAAGAAACCACCAATTTAGTGGGGCAAGGTCCAGGTAACCCTTACCAATTAGATTAAAGAGAGAATATACAAATGGTTTCGGGCTGACCCAACAAAGTCCCGAAGATGAAAAGAAAGCCAAATAAAACAAAAACAACATATATTAACAGAACTACAAAGAAAAACGATAAGGTCCATTCTCCTCAACTGAGCGTATCAGCTAGCTCAGCTCATCTGGTATGGTAGGGTAAAAGATTCAAGGCTTTAATTTCTTCCGATTTCGCAATCTTTTGGGCTTTTTTGCTCTACCAGTACGAGTGTTGAACCAGTTTTTGAATTTCAATAGTTATCCCCGATTTGGTTGCTTTGTTATCCTCGTAGATCGACTACATGCGTGGCAGATCGACTACAGAGGCCATTCATCTCGTGAGGAGGTTATTGGAAGAGTATAGGGCTAGGAAGAAGGACCTTCATATGGTGTTTATTGACCTTGAGAAGGCGTATGATAGGGTGCCAAGGGAGGTCTTATGGAGGTGCCTTGAGGCGAGAGGAGTTCCCATCGTGTACACTCGCGCGATCAAGGATACGTACGATGGGGCTATGACCAAGGTAAGGACTTCTGGGGGCGTCTCAGATTCCTTCTCGGTAGGGATGGGGTTGCACCAAGGGTCTGCTCTTAGCCCTTTTTTGTTCGCCTTGGTGATGGACGTCCTAACTCAAGGTGTTCAAGACGGGGTCCCATGGTGCATGCTTTTCGCGGATGATATTGTGCTTATCGACGACACACGTGAGGGACTAAACGATAAGTTGGAATTATGGCGCCTTGCCCTTGAGACTAAAGGATTCAGAATAAGTAGGAACAAGACTGAATACATGGAATGTCGTTTCAGTGGCCGGGATACAGAATCAGAGGTGGAAGTCAAGATTGACTCTCACCTAGTACCTAAGGTAGACAGGTTTCGTTATCTTGGCTCAAGAATTCAGGCGGATGGGGAGTTAGATGCGGATGTTGGACATCGGGTTGGAGTGGCTTGGGCCAAATGGCGGTTAGCTTCAGGGGTGTTGTGTGATCCGAAGATTTCGCCTAGAATGAAAGGTAAGTTCTATCAATCCGTAGTCAGACCTGCTATGTTATATGGGGCAGAGTGTTGGGCGGTTAAGAAGACTCATGTGTGTCGTCTGCATGCGGCGGAGATGCGGATGTTATGATGGATGTGCGTGAAGACAAGGTTTGATAAGATTTCGAATGAGGTTATCCGACGTCAAGTAGGTATGGCACCGGTGGAAGACAAGTTGCGGGAAGCGAGGTTGAGGTGGCTTGGCCATGTGAGACGGCGGGACGCTGACGCCCCTGTACGGAGATGCGAGAGGATTACAGTTATCGGGGGAAGTAGGGGAAGGGGTAGACCTAAGAAGAATTGGGAGGAGGTGATAAGACAGGATTTAGGACTTCTCGACCTGACTGAGGATATGGCCCTAGATAGGAACCTTTGGAGAACTAGGATTAGAGTAGCTGGATAGGAGCTCGGTGTTGTAGAGGTTGTTTTGTAGTGTGTTGTATTTGTTGGGAATCTTTTGCTATTGTTTGTACTTGTTGCTTGTACTTGGTGCCTTATCTGTGCTATACTGTGTTCTCTTCCATATTTTTGTGCA